TCTTTGGTTTTTGCCTTCATTCTCCCATCAGTTTGCATGGAAAGACCCAAAAGATCTTGCTTGGTTGAGGCAAATTGTGGTGAAGTTTCTTTGGTGGAACCCCTTGAAATTGATCTTGGGAGGCAAAGGATGCCTACAAGGGTTTAAGCAAGAAACATGAAAACTCACTAATCTTAAATTAAATAGAGAGTTGAGGCAGAGAAGGTGATATGCCAGAAGGGGGAAACAGTTTCAAAGATAGGCTAAATGTTGTGCACTGCTCTGCATTATAAAAGAGTTTGGTCCCTATAGGGGAAGACTCTGGAAACTTGCAGATCTCCCTCTCTTTATACAGAGAAAATTATTTTTCCTTAACATGACTGCATGAGTGAGTTCCCTGCTTTTCTGAAAAACAAAAACAAAAACAAAAACAGAAGCTTAGTTTCTGCACCTTAAGCTAAAAGACAGAACGCAGAGCCCATTTTTCCTCATCTAAGGAAGACATTACAACGATGCTTAGGACTCCAGCTGAAGCCCAGTAGGTGACAGCAGAGAGCAGTCAGGAGCAGCAGATAGTAATGTGATGTCACCAGAAGACATCTGCAGAGTTAAATGTGGGAGTTGCCATTCCATATGCATGTTCAACCATATGTAGCCACTAGTGTTCCTGAGATGTGTTTGCTCTTCCCACAGATGGTGTGTGAATTTGTGGGAGAGTATGTCCCAGCTATATGGGGGGGTGGGGTGGAAATCTTTTCTTACTATTTCATTAAAGGTCTTTGCTTTGTATTGATTATGTCCCTTTTATGTCTAGTAAAGGTCAAGAGTGGTAGGGCTCATGGTGATATATGTGACATGATACATGGTGAAATATAGTCAGTGATACATCTCTGGCTATAAACTTGGAATATCATGTGTGACACCCTTTCTAGTTGGTTCCATTTCTTTGGTTTTGAGTGGTTATGAACCCACAATGTATATGGGATTGTTTTTCCAAGGCCTCAGTGAGTAGGAGTGTTTTAGGTGCCTCATAAGCAAAAATGAAATGGGCTGCCATGGAAGAAATGAATTATCCCTCCCTAGGAATATTAATAACCCTTTGTTTGAAACATGTTAGAGGGCATTTGTGCCTAGATGCAATTGGACTAAGAGACTTTTGAAGTTCCTTCCAGCTCTACCCCCTCCGTAAGTTTTTAAAAGGAAAAATAAAATAAACAACCCTGTCCTATTAGGGTTAATCTCTCACAGCCATAGTTTCATTCATTATTACCTTGGGGTGGGGGTGGGAGGGTGGGGACAATCAGGAAACCTTATCTTAAGTCATGGCTCAGCTACTAGTAATGTGACCAGGTTTGTGCTCTTCTTCAGACTTTAGTTTCCTCATCTGTCAAATGAGGGGAACAGACGAGATGATAGGTTTCAGCGTCTCAAAATGCTGGAACTCATTAATGTTTATAAAGCACCTTCCTCATAACAACCCTTTGACATAGTGAGAGTATTATTTATGCCCATTTGACAGATGAGAAAACTGAGGTTCAGTGAGGTTAGTCTTTACCTGTGTTTGCACAGCTAGTATGTGTATTCTATGATGGTAGGTTTTTTTGTTTGGTTGGTTGGTTTTGCAAATTCTGATAATAAGTAATATTCTATGAAACATTGCTCGTTGCCTTTGGAAGCAAAAGAAGACAACTGCTAATCCATTTATTTATCTTTCCTTCTAAGGATCTGTAAGCCAGCCTTCCATTTAGCCATGATTCCTTTTTCATCTTCAGGTTTTATTTTATCATGTGAATGCCAAGATCGATATAATTCAATTCCTCTGGTCCTCCTAATGGTTGCTCAATAAGGATCTTGAATTTAGAGGACCAGCAGTTAAGTGCATGTTTCCAGATGGCCTAAAAACTGGGTAATTCTTAGCACTCCCTGCCCGCTGTTCTGTGACAGTACCTGGAGAGTCTGGAGGGAGCCACAAAAATGGGGGCCAGTTTGCAATTTCTTGAGTTGCCATGGCTGAAGAATTCATTGCCAATGGCCACCAGGCCAGTGACAAGTCTCTGCATTTACACAGCTAGGCTGGTCCATCAGAAAGTAGACATTGCCAAGACTGTACTTGGTGCCTTCTCAACTGTCATTCTTTTCCTAGCATACCCTTCAAGAGCCAAGAGTCCCCTTTATGGCGCATGGAGGCAGATGAGGAGGATTTAGTGGAAGATTAGATGCAGGTAGGTGGTGCGGTAGATAGAGTTCTCAGCCTGGAGTCAGAGAGACCTGAGTTCACAGTGGACCTCAGATACTTCCTAGCTGTGTGACCCTGGTCAAGTCATTTTGCCTTTGCCTTAGTTTCCTCATCTGTAAAATGCAGATAATCATAGAACCTACCTCCCAGGGTTGTTTCGAGGACCCAATGAAATAATAATTGTAAAGTGTTTGGCACAGTGCTTAGCATATAGTAAATGCCATTAAATGTTAGCTATTATTATTTAAATCTAGCTTCAGACACTTACTAGCTGTTTGACACTGGGCAAGTCACTTGACCTTTGATTGCTTCAGTTTCCTCATCTGTAAAATGAGCATAATAATAGCACCTACTTCCCATCTTGGTTGTGAGTAATAGATGAAATAATAGCTTAGCAAAGTGCCTGGCACATAGTAGGTGCTATATATATGCTTATTTGCTCCCTTCCCTTAAATGACATAAAATGTTGTTTTACCAATGTGTGCAGGTCTTTCCTTTCTTCATTACAATTCTAGGAGGTAAGTAAGTAGTTCAAACATTATTATTCCCATTTTGCAATGAAAAAATTGAGGTTCACAGAAATTAGCACTTGCCTGTGGCCACAGAGCTTGTATGCTATATAGAAATAATAAGAAGAATACATGACCACTGTGCTTAGTAAGTGCATATCTGTACCAACCATCATGGCTCAGGCGCAGAGGTGACAAGGAATTCTTTTGTGGTGTTAGCTTTCTGATATCATGAAGGGATCAAAAAAGGTGAACCGAATGTCTGCTCAAGCTCCACTTTTTGTTCCAACCCTCTACTTGCCCAGATTTCAAGTGCCCACACTTGCGTCTTAATAAGTTAACAGAGTCTACCTTTTCTCCCAGTTGGCAAAGGGCAGTTTGCTAATGGATAATCTGTAGTGGTTTATCAAGGCTCATTTTAAATGTCTGGGATAATGTGGCTTCACATGGAAAATATCCATAGCCCAAGAGGTCTCACTGAGCAGTAATGATATAATTACTGTCAGAGAATTATCTCTGGTTACGAAAGTGGAATGCCCATTCTAATTGGTTCCATCCCTTTGGGTCACCTTTTTGTTTTCTTCTTTCTTTTTTCCCCAGTCCTTTCCCTGAAGCTCAGTTGCAAAGCCTCAGGACTTGGACACCACATCAATAGGGGTGTACCTAGCATACTGACGGCGGGGCTAGGGAAATAACTGCTAATTATGGATTGGGCATCCCTGAAAGCATACTCAGCAAGCCTTCCCGGATGAGTTCTGCCTCCAGGTAATCAACCCTCAGCAGTTTTGCATCGTGCAGTAATTTTGGTACTAGAAGACCTGGGTTCAAATTCTGTCTCTGCAACTCCCACAAAATGACATTATGAGGCAGTTAGTGTGAATTTCATTTCATAGGTCTGAAACAGTGGAGGAGCTGAGGATCTAATAAATAAACTGAGAGCTAGGGCTGGAGCCCAGGTGTCCTGACATTGGGTCAAACCTCAATCTCCTTTCAATCCAGCTAGCTCTTTTCTCTTTTTCCCATCATCACTCCTACTTATACCCCTCATCAAGGTATCTTACATGCAGTTCCATCCAAGGTATAGTGTATGCAGTTCCATCCAAAGGCAGATTCCCACACCACTGCAAAAATAGCAGCCTGCCTTCCTACCATCCTGAAGGGGGACAGACAATGGCTCAGAAAAAATACAGTTTTGGAAGCTGCCACCACAGGAGCATATGGTCCAGAGATGCACATTTAAATATCTGTGCTTGATGTAGGGGTACTACTGCCTAATAATCTCCTACTCCCAAAAGCTGGGGTATAATTTCTAGGTGCACTTGAACTCATGTGTTGGGGATTCGGGCCAAACGTCCTCCCTCCCCCAACCCAAGCTGTGCAAATTGATGCTTTCCATAAATAAGTGGATTTTTAATAGACTTCTCTGTAATAATAATGATAATAATAATAATAATAATAATAACAACAATAACAATAAGAGCCACAGGAACTTGGCACTTAAAAAAACATGGAGTTAATAAGAAAAGCTCATCATTAGGATATACAGGGACTCTCCCCATGGAGAATGGTTGGGGTTCTGCCACTGTGACTCCAAGATGATTTCACTTATAAATGTACAGCAGACAGAGCTGGTCTGCTGGGGAGAGCCTGCCTCCTTGGAAATCTTTGGGGTGTCAATAACCATTGCAGTGTATTAGTAAGCGTTGGGAATGAGAAATCCAGAGAACTGGGTTCGAGTCTCGACTTTACCAATAATTCACTGTGACTTTAGGCAGGTGACTTTCCCTCTCTGGGCCTCTGTGAAACGAGAGAGTTGGACTTACTGATGTCCAATGGTCCTTCCTGCGGAACTGAGTTTCATGTTCTAAGGTTCCTTCTGGATCTGGAATTCTAAGATCTATGTGTTATGATCCCCCACTACTGAGACATTTTATGCATCTACGAGTCCATGAACCTAGGAGAACGATAGGCGGAGGATGAAGCTGCAGTGTTAATGTTAAAACAGCGACAGAATGAAAGGCTCAAAAGGAACACACACACACGCACACACCACACACACACACACACACACACACACACACACACACACAGTTAGATTAGAATACAATTTCTCGGCTTCTTCCCGACCAGATGGGCTGATGAGCGTTGTTACACTGACCTCAAGCGTGTGAAGGCTCTACCTCCAAAACCGAATTCTCAGATCCTCCCTGTCCCTCCCTCCTCCCTCCTCTCTCAGCCCCGCCTCCTCAGTCCCTCCCCGCCCCCTCCGCAAACCGACATACACACACAGACCACACGGTGCGGAACAATAAACGAAGTTGGAATCCAAACCCAGACGTCTCCACTGGAGTTTAAGGCTGAGCTACTGGATCCGGGCGGCGGGCTTCCTTCTCTGCCAGCCTCCTTCAGTCTCTCTCCATTACGCACAGCAAAAGCCTGGAGAAGGAAGTGAAGTGACCAATGGAGAGGCGAAGACAATGCTCAGAGCAGCCCGCTGGGGGCTAAGAGGAGGTAGCGCCCGGTAGAAGCAGGTCGGAAAAGTAAACTTGAAGCAGGTGCGACGCAGAATGAGGACGAGTCAGCTCCTGGACTGCCTTGTCCCGTGGGCTCCCTGAGCCTTGGGCGCGCCCGTGACCCCCTCCCCCTTCCCCAAGCTCCTAGTCGGTTTCGGCGGCGCAGGTGGGCGTGACAGCGCCTGGCAGGGAGCTCCGCCGCTACTCGGGGCGCTGCGCCTGGGAGGAGGAGGAGAAGAAGAAGAAGAAGAAGAAGAAGGAAGAGAGGAGGAGGCAGCGCCCGTGGAGGGGCCAGGCTAGGCGGAGACGGACGGGGCAGTAGCGCCATTCGTGCGTTGGAGCGGCCGCCGCCAGTGTAGGAGCTGGAGTCCAAGCCTGCCTGGGACAGCGCGGTGCAAGCAGTAGAGCCCCGCGTCGAGGGGCATCGACTGCTGGGCAGGAAGCCAACCGACCCAGCAGGATAAGTGCTTCGCAATGGGATTGCTGCAGCCGCCGCCGCCGCCACAGCTACGGTCTCATGTAACTCCAGTGAGCTTTTGCCAGGCGAGATCGCTTAGATTTCTTGTCTCCCCGACCCAGGTTTTCTTACTGACCAGCTAGGGACCAAGGAGGCGGAAGGAGTGAGGGTGTGTGTGTGCATGAGAGGGCTGGACGGGTCAAGCTTCTGTGCTTTGACCCCCTAATGCTCCCTCCCCTCCCTTCCCCATCCCCATCCTCCAATTGCCTCTTCCCTTTTTTTTCCTCCTCTTCTGCACTTACAAACCTTGCTTGCCCCTGCAGGCTTGCGGGGTTTGGAAGCTGAGGGGAAGCTCCAGCCCGGGGTTTTTCCACCCGGTTTGTCTTGTACTCCTCTCGGACTGGTACTCTCCCGGACGCACGGCTTACCCAGCAGAGCTGGGCCAGTGCTGCTCTGGGCCGGGGACAGCCTCGGGACAAGGAGAAGCGACGACGTTGCCCTAGTCTCCCGCGGCACGGTTCACTGAGGGAGGCTCCTGCGTGGAGCTGCCGCTCGCAGCCAGGGGAAAGAGAAGTCGGCAATGAAGGCACTGAGTCCGAGTAGGGAGCACCCGAGCGACTCTGCTCCGGGGCTCGGGGCCGGGAGGGGACCCCTCTACTTCTGCTCTTGTAGTGGGGTCATGGATCTCCAGCTGACGACCAACAGCACAGACTCCAGCGACCGTGGGGGGTCCTCCAACGAGTCCTTGTGGGCCGCGGAGAGGCATCCCCCGAGCCAGTATTCGCCCGCGGAGGTGGCTGGCATAGCGGCTGTGGTGAGCTTTCTCATCGTCTTTACCATCGTGGGCAACGTGCTGGTGGTTATCGCTGTGTTGACCAGCCGTGCCCTGAAAGCACCCCAAAACTTGTTCCTTGTGTCCCTGGCCAGCGCTGACATTCTGGTGGCCACTTTGGTCATGCCATTCTCGCTGGCCAACGAGCTCATGAACTACTGGTACTTCGGCAAGGTGTGGTGCGACATCTACCTGGCGCTGGACGTCCTCTTCTGCACCTCCTCCATAGTGCACCTGTGTGCCATCAGCCTGGACCGCTACTGGTCCGTGACGCAGGCGGTAGAATACAACCTGAAACGTACCCCGCGCCGTATCAAAGGCATTATCGTGACTGTGTGGCTCATTTCGGCCGTCATCTCCTTCCCTCCGCTCATTTCCCTCTACCGGGACCCGGAGGACGACCAGTACCCTCAGTGCGAGCTCAACGACGAGACGTGGTACATCCTTTCCTCCTGCATCGGTTCCTTCTTCGCGCCCTGCATCATCATGGTGCTGGTCTACGTGCGCATCTACCGGGTGGCCAAGCTGCGGACACGGACGCTGTCTGAGAAGCGCACGGTGCCCGAGGGCTCGTCCCAGACGGAGAACGGGCTCAGCCGGCCGCCCGTGGGGGCAGGGCCCTCGACCGCCGCCGCTGCCGCCACCTCCCTGCGTCTCCAGGCTGGGGAGAATGGGCACTACCACCTCCACCATCACCACCACCACCTTCACCATCACCACCATCATCACCACCACCAGCTGCGCAAGAGTGCCGAGCTCGAGGACATCGAACTGGAGGAGAGCAGCACCTCTGAGAACCGGCGCAGGCGGCGCAGCCGAGAGGAGGCGGCAGCCCGCAAGGGCAGCCGCGGCTTCTCCTTCTCCTTTTCCTCCACCAAAGGAGGCCCGTCGGCTGGTGCTGGGAGCCGCCTGTCCCGGGCCAGCAACCGCTCCCTCGAGTTCTTCTCGTCCCACCGGCGCCGCAAGCGCAGCAGCCTGTGTCGCCGAAAGGTGACCCAGGCCCGAGAGAAGCGCTTCACCTTCGTGCTGGCTGTGGTCATGGGCGTGTTCGTCGTTTGTTGGTTCCCTTTCTTTTTCAGCTATAGCCTGTACGGCATCTGCAGGGAGGCCTGCCAGGTGCCCGAGACGCTCTTCAAGTTCTTTTTTTGGATCGGTTATTGCAACAGCTCCCTCAACCCTGTTATCTACACCATCTTCAACCAAGACTTTCGGAGGTCCTTCAAGCACATCCTGTTCAAAAAGAAGAAGAAGACCTTCTTTCAGTGACCCCCCGGTGGGCTTGGGGTGGGGCTGGGAGGAGGAAGGATGAAAAGGAGCCCCGAGGGGGCGGCCGGGTTGGACCGGAGCAGGAGGAACTGCTGAAGGGGTGGCTCGGCAGTTGGGGAAGATGTGAGGAGAGAGGTGGAAGGACACCTGGGGGGAGGGTGGAGGAGCAAGGAGGGAGGATTGAAGAGGAGAAGCGGAGGAGGTGGTGGAGGAGGGAAGGATGGAAAGGAAAGGAAGAAGGAAAAGGAGAAACCTTAGTTCGAGGTCTGCGCGAAAGCTGTCTTCCGAAGTCGCCCGGCCGGGTGCAAGTCCTCTGGACTCCGGCTGAGGGCGCCCACTGAGGGCAAGGTTTGGCCTGACCGCCGGACCAGAGTTTGGACAGCTGCAGAAAGTAGGGGGGAAATGAGGAAGGGGAGAAATTAAGGGGAAAGGGCTGGCTTGACCGTGAAGGGCATCGACAATCTAAAAGTATTTAAAATGTTTGCCAAAAAGGAGGAAAAAAAAGAAACCAAACTATTTTCTAAATAAACCTTTGTGATCTAAACTTTTCAGTTGCGCCAGTACTTAGAGTCGGACAGAGAGGGAGAGATGGGAAATTGGGCGGAATGCTCACCGTGGGATTAGGTTCTAGCACCCTGGGGGGGATTCCACATACTCTCTGGGCTGCTCAAATTATTCCACTCCCCAAGTCTGCCACACACACGTGCACCCACACATCACCACACACAAATACGATTAGGAGAGACTGGGAACTGAGGAGACCCTCGATACTGCTTTGGAATGGGTAAGGGAGAGACAACCTGTAGCCAATCTACATATGCATTTGATGTTCACATTATCAAACTTTATGTATATGTATACTATGTGTGTGTGTGCGTGTGTGCGTGTATATATATATATATATTATATGTGTATATATATACATATATATATATACACACATACATACATACATACACCTATGGACAACCTACATATGACTCACGTAGATGAAAAATATATGTGGTCTGAGACAGATACACTATCTTGAAACACTTAAAGTGTATTGTAACTATTTAGCGCAGGGGGTGAGGGAGGAGGGGACCCGCTGCGGGAATTTCCAATCCTGAATCTTTTACCATTTCTCAACTTAGTTTCTTAGGAACGCGACTTCCTCTCATTGTAATTATCTGTCTTTTCGTTCCTTCGATTTCCTACTCATTCTTCCCAAGAATCTCCTTTTTGCTTCTGCCTCGCCCATCAACTACCTTGTCACGCCTCACCCTGCCGGCTTGAGTCTACCTAAAGTCTCCCTGACCCTGTCTCTCTGCCTCCCTTTCTTTCTTTCTCGGCCTCTCTGTTCCTCTATGTCTCTGTCTCTCACTCTGTCACGGTCCTGTCTGCCTGTCTCTCTGTACCTCCTTTTCTCACTCCTCTCCCCATTCTTTATTCTATATTCCTCTTCTCTTCCCCTTCCTCCCCTTTTTCTTCCAGCCATTTTATTACCCCCTCTTCCAACTAAGTGTGTCGTCGTCCTAATCACTGCTTAAGAATCCTCCAAGTCGCCTTCTCCCCCAGAGATGGTCATCTCCCCTCTCTCCACCTTGTCTTTCCTCTCAATTCATTTTCTCTCTCTCGTTCTCCTTTTCCCACAGTGTCTCTCCCTCCCCTCTTTATCCATTTTCTCCCCCTTCCCTAAACCTATCTTTAGTCTGTTGCTTTTAGTTTGTCTCTATCCCTGCCCTTCCCTCATTCATTCTCCACTCCTTGTCCCTCATACTCCTTTTAGCTTCCCTCTTTCTGTCCCCCACCACCCCAGCCCTCCTCCCATCAGCAGCGCAATTCCCAGCCTTTACTAAGGCCATTCACTCCTTCTGTCTCCCCTGTCCTTCTCATTGACCAGCCTGGAAGAATAACACCCTGTGTTGCTGCTCCTTTTTCTTCTCTGATCTCCCCCTATCAACTCCCTAGCCTATCCCCAGGCAGTAGCGCTGCATTGAAGAAGGAAGCCTACACCGAAGGGGTGAGGGGGTGGCTGCTATCCCCGCTGAGCGAAAGACGAGCTAGTCCACGGAAGGTGGTCGCAGCTGCTTCTCACTCTCAGCCGGGATGCTTTGAGAGGGATGTCTGGGCGGAATGCGAGCTATAGTTTCCACGTGGCCCGAGTGGCTTCCGGGTTAGCCCTGCCTTGGCCTCAGCTCCCCTTTCCCGACTTCTACCCAGAAAACAACCAGTTAATTTGCAGAGCTTCAGTTAGGCAGAAGAGTTAAGGATGCTAATCTGTTGATTTATATAGTGGCTGGACATTGGTGCTTGCTTTGCCACTCCCCCCCACCACCCATCTACTTAAAAAAAAAAATTAGCCAGTTTGTCACTCCCAAAGGAAGGCCTCTTTACAAGAGTGCCCTGCGATAAGGAGAAATTTGACGGGGTTCATTACCCTGAGGCCTCTGACTACCTCAGATTCCAACTTTCCAAGAGAGGGACCCGGGGTGACTCCATACATGCTTCTGGTGGAAAGAAGGAGGAATTAGGAAGATAAGGAGGTGGGAGAGACCGAAGTGGGGAAGGAAATTGGGAGAATGAGAGAGAATATTCCAAAGCGTTTTGGCTCAGGAGTCAGACAACCTGAGTTCAAATTCCACTCCTGATGATTAGTACCTATGTGACCTTGGGCCAGTTACTTAACCTCCCCCAGGAGCTCAGTTTCCTTATCTGTAAATGAAGGGCTTGGATTAAATGGTTGGTCTCTGAGATCCCTTTTGGTTTTAGACAGGGCTGCTGGGAGAGCTGATCTTTATAGTAGAAAAGGACAAAAGAATGTGAAAAAGAATGGGGAAGAATAAAAGGAAGATAATAAGGAAAAGGAGAGGGTGGAGAACAGGGAGAACAATAGTAGCTAATATCATATAGTACTTTAAAGTCTACAAAAATATTTACATGTACCATCTTACTTGATACTTAGGACAACCCATTAAAAGTAAGTGATATTATTATCCCCATTTTGCAGATGAGAAGATGGAGTCTGGCTGAGGTTAAGTGACTTGCCCTGGGTCACACATCTAGTAAGTGTCTGAGGCAGGATTCAGACTCAAGTTTCCTGACTCCAAGTACTGCTCTCCATCTGCCTAAGTACAATGAAGAGAGGAAAGGGAAGGAGAGGAGGCAGAGAGTGGAAAAGGGGGATGTTAAATAATGAAGAAGGAGAAAATGAGATTAGACAAAGGAAAGAGAAGGGCAACAGGGGGAGGCTGAGAGGGCAATACAAATAAGGGAGAAATGGAGTAAATTAATAAAGAGAAAGTAGAACAGAGAAAGAGAATGAAGAGGGGACAAAAAAAGAGAGTTTATTTTATTCTAAATGTTTCTGGATTAAATAAGAGTCAGGTTTCCCCAGCTCTCCTCACTTTCCAGAATCTCATCTCTTGCTTAATAGTACTGCTGGAAAAGTGGGATGTGTGTGTGTGTGTGTGTGTGTGTGTGTGTTTCTGTTTGGTTTTGTTATTGTTATTTTTTGATTTGCAGATTAAGGAGCATGCTTCGGGAGACAACTTTGGTTCGATCACAGAACCTTCTCCCCCAAGGACCCCTTTATGAAATGGCTCCAAGGAACCTTCAACCCCCTAATAGTCACCCTCTTTTCTCTCTCCATTGATGCTCTGAAAAAAGAGAAGCGTACGATTTGCTGATTATGCCCTCTCTAGCACAAGGGAATTTTTACCTCAAAGCATCATGACCTTTTATCTTCTAATTCTAGGGCTCTAAACTTTTCCCACAAAGTTCTGAGTGGAACAAATAAAGTAACTCACCACCTAAAGGCCATCTCCAGTCTTCAGGTCTCTAGGAAGACCTCCCTGATTCTGTGCACAAAGTCTAGGCTGTTCTAGGTTTTGAGAGCATACTTTCAATGGGATAAGCCTAGGGTATACATAAGGCTACTACCATACACATGGGATTTTCCCAGTTAAGCCTTTTTTTTTTCTGGTCTTACTGGAGAAATTCAGTTGCAGGACTGACCAGCTAAAGGCTGTCTCCAGTTAGGTAGGGAAAAGAGCACTTGACCTCAGATCAGGGAACTTGGTTTGGAATCCTGGCTCAGAGGCTTGCTACACGACCTTAAAAAGTCACTCACCTTTCTAAGTTTAAATTTGCTCTTCTGTTAAGTGAGGAAGAAAACTGTATTCCTAGGTTTCCTCCACAAGGTTGGTATGAAGAAAATGTTTCACAAACCTCCAGATGCTACAGAAATATAAGCTATTGTTACCATTATCTTGTTGTTAGGACAGCTGGGGGGGGGGAAGGGGCACAATGGATAGAGCCATGGGCTTAGAGTTAGGAAGACTTGAGTTCAAATCTGGCCTCATTCCTGTATAATTTACTTAGTTCTGTGATAAAGGGCAAATCGTCTAACTTCTATCTTGTCTCAGTTTCCTCCATTATAAAATGAGGATAATAATAGCACCCACCTTCCAGGATTGTTGTCAGGATCAATGAGTCTTAACAAAGTGCCTAGTCAATAGTAGGCACTTAATACAAGCTTGTTTCCTTCCTTGTTGGGGGTAGTATGTGGAATTTGCAAGGGAAGTTACAATTAAGAGGCTTTCCCTCCTTTTAAATAGTTAAGACAGAGATTAGTCATTGAAGGATGCTGAACATATGATGGAGGCCAGGGAGGCAGAGAAGAGCACAGAGACTTACAGATCACAAAACCTTAGAAGTAGAAGAGACCAGCAAGATTGGCGTGGTCCAGACCCACCTTTTGATGGATGAGGTAGTAGAGACCCAGGGGTCATGACTTGCCTAAGGTCATGCAGCCAGTTAATGGCGTTTCCCAGGACTCAAACCCAAGCTGCCTGACTCCATGTCTGCTGCTGTTTCTACTCTGCTTCCTGCCTCTTCATGACTATTTCTGGTGTGCCCCCAGGACAAACTTCCCATATCCAGCCCTAAAGAGCATGTAGAGAGACCAAGAAACCCACTAGACTCAAAGAAATATTCTCCCCACTCAAGAAACTTGGTGAATGAAAATTCACTTTTAAATTCACAATTAGAAACTCATTATTTTGGCCCAAGAAGACCCTCACCATTCCCACTGCTTTGGAAATGCATGAATATTAATATTAAATTGTCTCATGTTTACAAAATAACTTAGAATTTATCAAATGCTTTCATTTAAAACCAACTTGTGAGATGGAGAATGTCAGTATCATTTTGTAAATGAAGAAACTGAGACTTACAAGGTAAAATGACTTGTCTGAGATAACACACCAAATAAATTAGTAAATAGCATATTTGAGGCTTAAATCAGGTCTTCTGATTGCAAGTACCCTGTTCTTTCCACCACGAAGAGGGGGGAGGGTGGGGATAGAAGGATTGGCAAAATCCTAAGAGAGAAGTGGGAGGGCAACAAAGATGAGCTTCCTTTTTCATAATTTTGTCCAGGATAGTCCTGATTAAGGCTTAAAGAAATATTGACCTATGCTGGCTCTTCCTCTTATTAGCTGTGTGACCCTGAGTAAATCAGTAACTCCCCCCACCCCCAGCCCAGGCAATCAAGGTTAAGTGATTTGGCCAGGATCACACAGCTAGTTAAGTGTCAAGTGTCTGAGGCCAGATTTGAACTCAG